TTGTACTATGAGATCTTAAAATCTGCAGGAGATGGGCTGCCAAAAAGGGGGGATTTGATCTCAAAAGATTCCCGTACTATTCTCAAAAGTGCCCTGTCCTGCAGCATATGCTGTAGCATGCTTCAGCCAAATACCTAACATGGCTATTTCTCCAAAAATCAGCACATATCCAAGAAGTAAATATGTTTATCACATCACTTTAGCTCCAATATAAAAAGATAGAAAAACAAAACAAAAAGACTCAATTTGTGGAATTTTAGGAAAATAAAATGGGTAAATAAAGTAAAGAAAAAGTGTAAAAGTATCAAATAAATTGATACTTATCAGTAATCTTCTTAGCCAGAGTGCTTCACACACACCTAGGGCAGTAGCTCGTAGTTCGGCTTCAACACTGCTTCTTGCTTTGCCATGTGACAAGGTTGCCAAACACACAAGAACAGTAACCCGAGGTAGAACGCCAATCAGTTTGACAACTTGCCCAACTTGCATCTGTGAACACTTCTACACTTCGATTGTCTTGTTTCTTAAACTATAGACCATGACCGGTGTTCCTTTAAGATACTGTAGGATTCTGTGAGCAGCATCAAGATGGCATTGGGATGGTGAATGCATGAATTGACTTACATAATTAACTACAAACGTAATATCAGGCCTAGTATGTGCAAGGTATATCAATCGACCTACAAGACGTTGGAATCTCCCCCTGTCGATTGGAACCGTAGAACTAACATCAGGCTTTAGAGGAGAGGCGGGCCGAGAACCGAGCATCCCGGTGTCTTTGAGCAAGTCCAAGGTATATTTCCTTTGAGACAAGCTAATCGTAGATTTCGTTCTTGCAATCTCCATTCCAAGAAGTACCATAATGAACCAACGTCTTTCATTTCGAAGGAGCGAGCCAGATGGACGTTGATGTTTGCGATGACCACTGCATGATCTCCATAAGTATAATGGCATCAACATATACGATTAGAATAGCGATCTTACCATGTTCTTTAAGGTATAAAAGAGTGTGATCGGCGTGGGCTTGAGCATACCCAAATTGTTTAACTGTATGAGTGAACCGATCAAACTATGCTTTGGGGAACTGTTTGAGACCATAAATGGCCTTCTTGAGACGACAAACTTTATGGCTGCCATTTGGAGCATGAAAACCCGCCCGGGGGGGGGGGTGGGTAAGTCCATGTAGACCTCCTCGTGTAGATTTCCATTTAGAAACACATTTTTTTACGTCTAGTTGATGAAGAGGCCAATCGAAGTTGGCAGCAAGTGAGAGGAGAACCCGGATGGTATTAATTTTGGCAACCGGGGCAAATGTCTCTTGATAATCGATTATGTATGTCTAGGTGTAGCCTTTTGCTAATAACCGAGCCTTGTATCTTTCAATAGAGCAATCACTTTTGTACTTAACCGTAAACACCCATTTACAGCCAACTGTGGTCTTGTCATGCAGGCGTTTAACCACTACCCATATACCATTTTTTTGAAGGGCACAAAACTCTTCAATACTGCAGCCCATATTGGTTGGTTCTTTTGTTAAAGACAAATCCGAAACAAGAACCTTCATAGGTGGGACTAGATTAGCATAGCCAAGAAAATCAGAAATAGGATGTTGACTGCAAAGAGCGCGTACCTTTTCTGAATGCAATCGGTACATCAAGATCAGATCTCGAAGGCAACTCTTGGTATACCTTAGACTTTGGAGGAACTCCTTTCCTTCGGTTGTATGTGATTGGGAAGGACTCGACTTGGCTTGTAGGTTTTGGGACATGTTGGCGGGTAGTTGGTGATGAGGGTCCGCTGTTTCTGGAATTATGGTTTTAGGTGAGGTGGTTTCCAGCTGGTTCTTTGGTGAGGTGATTGGAGGATCGAAGCCAAGAACTGTTCCCAACTTTCGGCTCCTATAGGATGGGATACTTGGGCTCTCTGGTTAGATTGAGGAGAGTAATAGAATTGATCTTCAAGAAAGGTGACATCATGCGAAACGAAGTATTTTTGTTCCTTTGGACAGTAGCATCGGTATCCCTTTTTGGGAGGAATAACCAACAAAGACACCTTTTACACTCCTTGGGTCAAGTTTGGACCTCTTTTGACTATGAACGTGGACAAAGAACGAGCAACCAAATACTTTCAGATCAAGATCGGAAAAGGTATAAGCCTTCGGGAAAGGATTTTTGTAGGACGGCTAGAGGTGTTTGGAATTTTAATGCCCGTGAAGGCAACCGATTAATGAGATAGCAGGCTGTTAGAATTGCATCACCCCAAAAAGATTTGGGTGTATTACTTTGAAAGAGTAGGGATTACCTCTAGCAAGTGACAGTTTTTTCTTTCGGAAACGCCATTTTGTTGAAGGGTATTAACGCACGAGCTTTGGTAAAGCTAGACATGGCCGAATTGAAATACTCGGTGTCGTTGTCTGTTCGAAGGATTTTGATCTTTGCATCATATTGTGTAAAGATCATCGAATGGAACTTTTCAAAGATACTAACAACTTCAACTTTGTTATGTAAAAGATAAATCCAACAAACTCGAGTATGATCATCTGAATGAAATAAACCATCTTGTATTAGAAATTGGTGGTATTTTTGAAGGACTCCATACATCACTATGAACTAGAGAAAATGGACTCAATGCATTATAGGTATGAATAGGAAACGAGACTCTAGTATGTTTGGACATCCGACAAACGTCGCATGAAAAAACATCAGAATCATTATATAAAGACCAAAATAGTTTCTTAAGGTACAAAAAACTAGGGTGGCCGAGACTTTGATGAAGAAGACTGATTCGTTGGTAAGGTAGTAGATCCTTGAACTAGAAAGCTTGTGGCAGATTCAGATGGAAGAAAGTAGTATAATCCAGAAGTCTTTTTAGCACGACCAATCGTCTTCCCCGATACCGGATCCTAAAAAAATCGCAAATATTCAGAAAAATTAGCTAGACACTTGGAATCTGAGGTTAGACGGCTAATTGAGATAAGATTGTACGACAGTTTTTGTACAAATAGAACATCATGGATAATCAGGTAGGGTGTAAGTTCAACGGTGCCAATTCCTTCAACAGGAGCTATAGAACCACTGCTAAGGTGATTGTTCTTGCAACTGGGCAAGGCTTTAAGGATTGAAAGACAGACTTATTACCACACGTGTTTTGTTGCTCCGGAATCCAATTCCATGACTTACCTGGAATATCTCCAGTTGTTGGTTACCACGAGCCATAAGCAAGATTGAAGACGCTAAGAGCTGCCCAATTTGTTCAAGTTATGCCTTGGAAAAAACATCCATAGGTTTGGAGGAAGACGACGATCCCGATCTTTGGGTTGCTGGATTTCTTTTACTTTCTGGAATTCATTGGCTCCGAGGTACCCAATCAGCAGGTTTTCGGTGGATCTTCCGACAAGTACTCTTTGTATGATGGGGACGTTGACAGTGGTCACACCAAAGAGTAGGCTTGCGAGGTCCACGGTTATGTGCAACCATGGCAGTGGTTTCAGACTTGATGTGTGTTCCATTAAGAACTGGACTTGTCATCTTGGTCCTTTTCCGATGTTCTTCTCGGCGAACTTCGGCAAAGATGGCATCAATTACTGGTAGGAGTTTAATGTTGAGACTACGTCCTCGGGCATCATCAAGTGAGGAATCAAGACCGGCCAAGAAATTATAGGTTCTTTCTTTGGTAAGCATCTTCTTGTATAATTTAGCATCTATTGGATCCTTCCACTCAGATTGAGAAAAAAGATCTAATTCTTGCCAAAGTTTAGTTAATGCATTAAAGTAAGTGTAACATTACTGTTATCTTGTCTCAGATTTCGAGCCCTAGTTCGAAGCTCGAACATCTGTGAGGAGTCTTCGAGATCTGAATAGGAGCGAGCGGCAGCATCCCATATCGATTTTGCCATAGGGTGAAGGAGGTAAATTTCTGCAATGCTGTCTGGCTTCGAGTTGATGAGCCATGCCACAACCATGGAGTTCTGAATATCCCATTCAGCAAACGAGGGATCTGTGGGTAAGGGGTTTTCTATGGAGCCATTGGTGTAGCCATGCTTTCCCTTCCCACGATTAAGGAGTTGGACAGATCGAGACCATTGAAGGTAGTTTGATCTGGACAGCTTAAAGCTTGTAATTTCGAGAGAGAGATTGTTTTCGGAATTGGCAGCATTAGGAATGCTTTTTGACTGGTTCGATTTTTCTGGGTCTGATCCCATGGTGGTTGTTGACTAAACACTGTTCACGCAGGGGTTTTTAAGAAAAAAAAGATCGAGAAACGAATCAAAGTTTTTTAGAGCTCTGATACCATAAAAGCTTTAGAGAAGTTGGAGGAATATTATTTTTTACTATATGTTGATTACAGCATAAGGAACTGTATATACAAATAGAGGTTAGGAGATAGACTACTACAACTACAACTCCTAACAATATCGGATAAGCAATTATCTACAAACGTTTCCTTATTAGAGTCTTTATATAACTCTCCATTAATCCATATCCGATTACTACTCTACATTGGGTATTGATCGAGCATCTACATCTATACTCCAAATTTTGGAGTGTTACAAGTCATAGTAGTTTAATATTTCTTCATGTTATCTTTATTTTGTTACAGATATATGTTTGCATATAATAAAAACCAAGAGGGAGCATTTATATGAGACACATCACATACTTGTCGATTGTTGATGAACTTCAATCATTACTAGTAATTGTGAAACTCACTAGTGTCTCATCCCTAGGTGGTTGTTTTCTATCATGATCATAAGTTATTTTTGGCCTTCCCTGGGTAGTTTTTGATAAAAGACTTCTTGTTATTGTTTTTTAAATATAAACATTCAAAGACATATGGTGCTAACTTTGCATGTTCAAGAAATTAGTACTTAGTAGTGACAACGGTCTATATTGTTTCTCATATTTATGGTATCGCTTTCTTTGATGATCCTTTATAATCTTTGTTCGTTATCGCTTTTCTGACAAATATAATATTAGACAAGGCTGGTATCACTTGTTCAGGTCCAGAACTCGTTTCATGATCTTGAAGAGTCGAATGTTCTTTTCCCATATATGAGTGATGCAATAATGGATATATCTAAAGCATGTCAAGCTTTTGAAGCAAAAGAAGCAGCACCAACAATTGCAGGTTCTTGACCTTTTGCTGCCCAGCTTTTTTCTTTTCTGTTTCGCATTCTGTTAACTACTTTTAATGATAACAGTGGAAGCTCTGCGGGCACTTCTTTTTGGAAGCACAAAAATTTATATACTAAGGCTATGTTCATGGATGAGAACTTCAATTGAAGAAATATCAAAACATGAATCTTGGGTCCCGGTGACTGTTCTAGAAAGGAACAAATCTCCATATGCTATTTCTTTCTTACCATTAGCGTTTCGTTCAGTTATGGTGTCGGCAATGGATCAGATTGATATGTAAGATCCTATATCTTGCTTTAGATCACATATTGGTTTTCTTGAAGCTTCATAAATCTTATTGCTGTTAAAATCTCACATCTAATTTATATTTTGTAAACCATTCAACTAAAGTGATTGAAAGAAACCTGTCAAAATAGAAAATAGGAAAAAGTGAACTTGTTACATATTGTCAAATTCTATGTGATTTGTCTTTCCTGCTCATACTATTGTGAGTATTTGATAAACATACTTTACCTGGCTCATGGTATATTACTAGCATACTACTGATCCACATTAGTCCTACCTTTCAGTGGCAGCTGTCAGGCATTTTTACCATGTTAAGTAAGTAATTGTCCCTGACTGTTTGCGAGATGGGCTGGTACCTTTGTCCAATATTTGTACATTATTTAATATAAATATTTTGTATGGGTTATGGAGCATTATGATCATACTGGTGTAGGACTATGCAAGTAAAATCATTTATGCAAACTTGGAGGTCAGGTGGTTGATGAGTTGACCATTAAAAACCATAGCTGAAAGAGCCCTAAAATCCAATTACTTTTCTGGTGTAGGCATTTTGTGTTACAGGAAGCTTGAAGATGTCCTTTAATGGAAGAACAGGGGAAACGGGAGAATTAGGAAGAAGAAAATAGAGAGAGAAATATAGAGGGGGAATTCATTTTTATTATCTTCATGCCTCTGTTACAAAAATGAACTCCTATTTATAGTTGGCATCAGTTACTATCGTTACCAGAAAACTAAAAAGGTTTAGTTATAACAAACTCTTAGCTCCCTTATCATACTTTCCCCCTTCAAAAAGGCTTGTCCTCAAGTCTATATCAATCCGTTAACTTGTCTGGTGTGGAAGTACTGCTTTGGATCATCTTGTTCCATCTTCACTATATTGCAGTCTTAGCCATCTCCTCTTTGGATTTTAACCGTAAACAATTGTGGCTCCTTCAATTACACTTATATTGTTTGTCATAAGGCTGATACAGAAATAACACATGTCCTTTGCAATTTGCTCGGCTCTCACATCTGCTGGAACATGTCAGGAATTCTTAGTGGTTTTTGGGTGAAACTTGCCAAAGGAATTGTGATCTCTTAGCCGAAGGAGTTGGTAACAGAGTCACTGAATGTTAGCCAGAATAGTTGGTAATGGAGGTGGTTGAATATTATCAGTCATGGGTACTTCTAGGACGGGTTTGGTGAGATGTATTTGTTAGGTTCTGTTTTTGAATTAATAAAACTCAAAGATTCTTCCTGCAATCTTGCAAATTCTATAGCACCTGCCAATGAAGTAGACTTCAACACTCCTACAATTGGCTTAACCGCAGGCTTCAATCCCCCAATGAAACTATCTAAAACATGGTTACTCTGCAACATTATTGCCAGCAAATCCTCAAATTCTTCGACGTAATTATCCAGTGAATCATGTTCGTGAAGTTTATTAAATTGCTCCAATACATTCACTCCTAGTTCATTTTTGAACCGGACTGTCAGATCAATAACGAGATCTTTCCAATCCACACTTCTCCTTACAGACAGATAGCTAGAAACCCAGTTTCTGCCTTGTCTACCATGTTCAATGAAGCTAGGTCAACTCTTTAATCTTCAGGTATTTTACAATGTGAGAAGTTCGTACACACTTCTTTATCCAAATGCTTGGATTAGAGCCAACAAATCTTGGAAAATCCAGTTCTGGTACGTACCCGAGAGTTCGATTCGAATTGGATCCTCTATTGTTGCTATATCTTGATGGATGAAAACAAGGTTTCGGCAGGTGTGCTCCTCTCATCTTACGCATTATCTGAATCATTTCTTCAAACTTCTTACCTTGATCTTCAAATCGTCTATTTTGATCTTCAATTTTCTTTTCTAGGGTTTTGATTTGTTCCTCCATCCCTACCGATTTTCTTGTTATTGGAGGAGCCAGACTTGCTTGATTTGTCAGGCAAACTCAAAAGGAAATTATTGGGTGTTCTTTTAATGGTTTCAGTGCGAGATTATTTACCTTTTTATAGAGAATGTTAATAAATTCCAAAATCCATTTCATCGTCCAGTAGCAACAACCGTATGGGATCTTTGCTCTGGTACCACTGTTACAGGAAGCTTGAAGATGTCCTTTAATGGCTGAAGAGGGGAAACAGAGATTTAGGAAGAAGAGAATAGAGAGAGAAGTCATGTTTATTATCTTCATGCCTCTTTTACAAGAATGAAACTCCCATTTATAGATGGCATCAATTACTATCTTTAACAGAAAACTAGAAAGGTATAGCTATAAGAAACCCTAACTCCCTTATCCTGTTGTTCCCTAAACAGCTTATCGGAATATTCCTCTAAACTGCTACTGACATTGTCCTTCATCTATAAGCACATTAATCACACGGTCTTGCACTTCCAAAAATTAACGTCAATCAACGTTTGCACTATTCTTTCCTGCACCAACAAGTACTTTTTGACAATAGATTTCCATTTTTGTCTCGACTTACATAGTTATGTTTGACCATACATTGGGTGCTCCTGGCATTTAACCAGCTTACTTGACACTATGCCTTACAAAAGACGTTAAGATATGAGAGGAAGAGATCATATAAAGGCGTAGGCATTACCCCTCCTAACTTCCTTCCCTCGTGCCCTCTTCTTAACTCACACAACTGCAATAAGCTTCTCCAAGTTATCCCAACGTCCTAACACTATCTCTTACAACACGTTATGTTACAATCGATTATCTGATTTCTAATTACTCAACATCACATAATCACATCTAAACACCCCCTAATTTAGATGAAGCTGGCCCTCAAATGATAATCTTTATAAACAAATTCTACCTTCTTTTATTGATAGTGGAACAATCCTCGTAGTCAAAGCCTAGTGGAAACCAAATTGATTCCAAATACTTAACATGTCGAGATAGATGTGTGAATATTTTTACTTTTCATGTTGTAATTCTTTTCCAGGATGATGAAGTATTTAAGAAGTGAAGCCACGTCAGAAGACACCCTTATGCTGCTTCAAGAAGCTCAAGAATCTGTTCGGCTTTCATTTTTTAATTGTCTACTTGGTTTTGCTGGTATGGAAAGGGTTACTAGTAGCTTATATATAGAGAGTCGGGTTCATACAAAAATACAAGAGAATGACCGAATCACATGTGATTTTACACTCAAAATCACATGTGATTCACGTGACCTTGCCATGCGACCTTGCCACACGGCCATAGGGTCGCCCACACACTTTTTGGTCCATATATGTAAAAGCACATGCGATTTTGTACTTATTTTGGCCATTATTGTATTTTCTTAAATAGGTACCATTCTCGTATGAACCTACTTCTATATGTGTGTGTGTAATTGTATTAAGTTATGATTAATACTAATCATGCACTACTTCATTAAGGCCACATGGAGGATATTGGAGGCGAGCTTGGTCAGAATATATCAAACCCTCCCTTTCAAAATGGATATCCTCCTGTTGTAGAAGAAAATTCTTTACATCATCGCCCAGGATGCATCACTGATCCACACCAAAAACTGTTGATGGTTTTGAGTAATATTGGATTTGCCAAAGATGATCTTTTTCATGAAATGTACAATAAATACAAACACGTATGGCTGCAGGCAAGGTACGTAGCATGCAGACTGCTCTTTTATCCTTTCCGTATACAGGGATTACTATGACCACCATTGTCTTGGGTATTTTGTCATTTTAATGTAACAGCTCAAGTTGGCTGACTCCATCACCAATGGGTTTTTATATTATACTGTCTTTAATATGCTTTATATATTTGGTTTTATTCGAATTTTCAGCTTTCTCAACTAAAGAATAAGAGGAATTATTAATGTATCAAGTTCTATGATACTGTTTCTTTGTATTCTATGTTTGCTTGGCTCTATTAGATGTTATGTATTATTGACTGACATTTGCATGTTTGAATATGTACATATATTGTACCAAAAAATAGTTATAAATTGTTGCAGGGGAAGAGAAGATGACGACGATGACAGAGAAGAATTGGTCGTGTCTTTCTCTGTGCTTGAAGAGAAAGTCCTTTCGAAATACACATTTGCAAAGGTGGTATATGACGCACAAGATGTACCTGTTTACTTTCATGTATTGTTGCTGCTAATTGGGACTGAACTGTTAATTAACAGGCAAATTATGTGAGAACAGCTGCTACAAATTATTTGTTAGATGCCGGATTACAATGGGGAGGAGCACCAGCAGTAAAAGTGAGGGAGGAGCAACATCTTGAATCATTCATCCATTTCATTGTTATTAATTAATTACAAACAGATTATCAAAATGTTTGCAGGGCGTGCGGGACCCTGCTGTGGAATTAATGCATACTCTTGTTGTTGTCCATGCAGAGGTATGTTTGATCACCTTTTGATACATAAAATATGTATATACATATGAATATATATATATATATATATATATTATGTTGTAGGTGTTTGCTGGTTGTGAACCCTTGCTTGATAAGACCCTTGGAATTGTTGTGGAAGGCCTAATCGACACATTACTCAGCCTTTTCCATGAACATAAAGACACAGGTCTTAAGCTTTTGGATGCAAATGGTTACTGTCAGCTGATGCTTGAGGTAAACAAGTTTAGTTACCTTTTTGGTGTTTTGTTTTTACATAATATATAAAATAAGTGTTATAATTTCATATACGCAGGTGGAGTACTTTGAGACGATATTAAATCAGTATTTTACGGGTGATGCGACTGAATCTCTCAAGTCATTACAAGGAGTTCTATTGGAGAAAGCAACAGAGAGTAATTGCAGTGCTGAACCTAGTGGTGATGATGCAGCAGCAGATGAGAAACAAACTGCATCACCAGATGATCTCATAGTAACAAACAAACTCCCATCCCATCGCATCCTCCCTCTGCGTTTTGTTTTATTTATATTATTATTATTATAAGTATCATATATATATATATATATATATATATATATAGGTTAATTAATTGGAAGAATGATGAATTTATGTGCAGGCCCTTGCCCAACAGTGTAGCAGTGAACTGCTACAATCTGAGCTTGAGAGGACTCGGATCAACACAGCATGTTTCATGGAGTCTTTTCCATTAGAGTTTGCTCCGGAATCAGTCAAAGTTGCTTATGCTTCATTTAGAGGCTCAATGGATGCTTCCAGTGGGGCTTTCATGGCACAAGCTGCAGTTGGCTCAAGGCAAAGATGGAGATAGAATATTTTCTCATTCTATTATTCTTTGCTTGATCATTTTCCTTTTCTCTCATCGCTAGTAGCCGTAGGTATTTCTTAGAATATATGTAACAACGTTAAAATCAAACATAATTTGTTCATTCACAACGAACCAAAGCAATGTAAATCAATTGTTTCATTCATTCATAATTTCAATTTATATTTTTGAACTTGGAATCAATGATTCTGGAGTCTCCTACATTTTAGTCTTGTAACCATGCGTTATAATTATGGAAGCCGTTTCTTGGATTTCATATCCTCCTTTTTACAAAATTGAATTGAAGGTTTGTTATCCTCTTAGCAATTGTGCGACTACAGAGTTGAGGTTCCGGCTCCATTATGAATTTAAAGTAGTTGGGTGCTTCATGTTTGCATGAGGAAAATGTGTACTACTTACAATCATCTTAGGTGTTGCAACATCTGATAATTTAAAAGATAATATTTTGTCAAGTGTAAAAGTTGTGTAGATATCTGAACAAGAGGTTCAGAGCTGATAATATATTGTCATGTTACCTTTAGCTTAATCTTATAAATGTTGTTTACTTTGTAGAGTAGAGAGTTAGTTATCTCGTAAGTTGCTGCTCATCTTTCCAAATCTGTTTTGTATCGTAAATTCTGTATATACAAACTCTCTCAAAGCTTGTAACCTTGTGTCTATTCTTTCAGCATTTGATTATTTAGATGATTTGGGAGTCTCAATAATTAAGGGTAACAAGAGCTATTTCAGAAATCAACGCTCTCTTCTTTGGGCTTTCACTACAGTACACATGAATCAGCTTTTGGCAGATACCATGAATAAAGGGAAACCTAATCTAATTCCGAAATTAGGAGAGCCGATCGGTAACCCCCACTACTATTCTTCTCCTTTAACTAACATAGAATTTCCTCGTTTTGCTATAAATGATCTGAACCTCTGGTTGTATAAAGTAAATCACCTCACATCTTCTGAAAGATATAGATTTTTCTTTATACAACCATCATGTTGGCAATTCTATACTTGTCATTCATGTCCCCCAAATAATCCGATTCCATGAACGTGTATGGAACGAGATTCTAATAAGACAAAATAATTAAACTCTTATAGTTATTTATTCTCCTTATTCAGATCTATATTTTATGCGTGTGAATTGTTGAGACTTTATCACGTTGGAATAATTTTAAAAATTCTATTTATTATTATAAACTAAGAGCGACATTTAGCAATACATCATTGTTACCTAAATGATAGAGTGTGGTGATTCAGCTAATCAACAAACTGTATGATCATTATCAATGTACAAATTTATGTCCCTCTCCAGATCGGACACAAGGCATGGATGTGTCATCCATGTATGTCTGATCCTCAGTTCATCGATTCTGGAATATACTGACAAGACAAATATCAATATCTATACTGATTATCAATATAGCATGCATGCACTTTTCTCAGTATTGTTCAACTGAGGGCCCCACAGATATCACTCTTGTCATACAAGAGAAACAAATCATATCTTGATCCATGCTAGTACTACTAAGTGATACACAATATATCCAACAACCATTCTGTCACCTAATTACGGAATAATTAGAATCAATTATCAAAGTACACCACTCACGCAAAGAAAACTTTATGATATCAAGTCAAAGGACTAACTATAAAATGATCACATAAGAAACGTCTATGACACTCATATGACATCCAATGAAACGATCTCATAGCAAGTGACGTCGGTACATAATACCCATCTTGTACCGATATGTAGATTTTGTATCTCCATAAAAATCCTTGCATATACTAGTTATACCGTATTAATTCAACATAAACCAAATTAATACTTGACTAAGGACATTGTAGAATACATTATTCTAAGGTTATTATTACGTTTAGATATAACGTAGAATAATATGTGGACATAATAATTAGGGAATGACTTTCATTAATTAATAACATCGTACAATGTCCAAAAAAAATCATCCAATGATTGACTTTTGGGCATACACACTAACACCTATTCCATCAATTAAGGAGCTTCTGGATGAGTTGCATGGTATGGAGTATTTTTCTAAAGTGGATTTAAGGGTTGTGTATCACCAGATTTGAATGGTTGATCTGGACATACACAAACCATACTTCAGAACACATTATGGACATTTTGAGTTTTTATGTAACATCCAATTTCTAATATGCCTAAATTATTTGCTAAGTATATTTAATTATTAGGTTAAAGAGAATCTATGATTTAGTGGGAGTTTGGGTTTGAAATTTTAGAATTATACTTCTTAGAAGTATATTAGAGGATTTGGGAAAAATTTCATGTCAAATAGATACGTAAAACTGATTTTTTTGGGAGATCTTCTCTGGAATATTTTTGTAGGATGTTATAGATTATCTCTTTTATGAACGTGTAGGCGAAAATCTCATAGACAACGGAGGTCCGAGCGAAAAGTTATGAATATTTTAAGTGTTGATAGTCAAAATGGGTACCTAGCCGGGTCAAATCGACCCAACTCGGGTTTTAGCATAATAAATTAGATTTTTGGCCCATTTTTCATGTCATTTGAGTCCAGAACTCACACACACACTAGAGGTGCGATTTTCACACACATAGGCTTGATTCAACTCAAATCAAAGAGGAACTACAAGATCTTTGAAGAATTTGATCATCAAGTAAGGTATAATCCATTTTTGCACTAGTTCTTGGTTGATATTCTTGTTATATAGATTGCATGTTGAGATAGAGTTAGGGTTTCATATGGGGTTGATCTTAAGTATATAAAATGAGTGCATTTTAGTGTTTATGGCATGAAATGGTCATTAGATTCAATAGATTATCAAGATTTATGCAAGTTCATCATATGAACTTTGACTTTATCAAGTCAATGATTTGGGAGAGAATATAAATGATAAAATAAAGGTTGGATTTTGGTTGTTTATGTGAAATATGTTATATTAAGTTGATATTCAGAAGTTGGAATAGTTTGGAATCGAAATGGTTTGAGAAAAATGTATGAAAATGAGAATTTCGACTTAAGAATGCACAAAAAATGTGCAGACTTTGAAAAACTGTATAAAATCATTGAAAATTTTAAATGAGGTGAGGCCAATTTCCTTATTTAGATAATTGAGTCTAGTTTATTTTTTATTCTATGATCAAGGCATGAATTCGAGTTTAAAATGGGCAAAACAGTTCTGCATGCAGCAGTTGTACCTAGAAATCTAAGTAAAATGTTCAAATAGGATGTGTATAACATGAGTTTCTTATATTGGTTACTTATGAGATTTTGTACATTCACTCCAGGGGGTATTTAGAACATATTTTGATGCTTTGGAAGAATTCTAAGTGTGGTAGCTTGGACTTGTTTTGTGAGCTCATTTTGGAGCTTTTCGGTATTATACGGTTGCCCGGTGAGTTATATAGTTAATTGTTACATATTGATTTGAACTATATTTTCATATGAATGTTTTTGGTCTTGAATTGAGTCACACGATCTTGATTTGTCTTCGATTCCGTCTCTTGAGTCTATTCCATATTATGATCTCGTTACATCGGTTTGCTTCCGGATCCGGTCTCGTTGTTTTGTTCCTTGAATTGTATACCATAGTACGGGTTCTACTTCGTGTGGCATGCCGGAAGTTTATGGCGAAGTCAAGATCCCGGGTTGGACGGGTGAGACTTTCTGCGGTTGTGAATACTCATTGCTCAAAGAGGAGGAAGAGCAATAAGTAGGGAACCTTGGCACATACCCGGTAGAGGAAGGCGGGCAGTGCGAGGTTTCCCGTAATGTATGATTCTGACTCGGACTTTGGCATGAGACCGGAAGGTGAAGGACGGGGTGATGCACTGTCCTAATTATGTTTACCGATTCGATCTCTTGGTTCTTAATATTTATTGGTATTCTACCGTTGCTGAATATATTTGGCTGTTGATCCTGTCTCCTTGTTGTATTGAGCATCAATGGTATGGTATATTATGGTGATTTGAATATGGAATTGTATGATCTTAGCATCCGGTACGTAATTGTTCACTTGGTTTCTTGTAAGTCTCGGTTTGTATTTAGATGATGTCTTGAACTCTTTTATTGATAAGAGTTTATTTTGTATGTTTATAAATGTTAGGATCGATTAACTCAGTTTTGGATATTAATCAAATACTCTGGATGATCTTTAAACATTAACAGTGCAACGGAAACAATAAGAACAAACAGAGTAAACAATCAATGAAGAACACAGTTGATGAATGATGAACAATGAGAGAGTAGCTTCAAATGATTTTCAATTGATTGAAAATGTTAACAATACAATATGGAAGCACACCGAATTACAAAGGCCTAAGCTGCTAGTTGTACTCGTTCCTAACGGCTTTTCTGACATGACCTAGACGTACAAATTCATCTAAGCCGTTCAAATAAAGCAGATTACAAACATAGTCACATGATAAGCACGAGCAGCTAACTAACCTAAGTAAAACAATAAAGAAGTTCTTCACAGAAGATAAAACTGCAGACCCTCTGTGAGCCATCCCAGAGGCTCTGCTGGATGTGACTTGAGAGCACTTGATTCCAGAGGATCATCTTTCAGAACCTCTGTGATAGACAACAGAGGTTCTGTCATCTTAGACTTGTACGTTTTGTTTACAGAGGACCAGTTTCTAGAACCTCTATGATAGACAACAAAGGTTCTGTCACTCTTCACTTGTGTGATTTGAACATCTTCTGTTGTTGGTCCTCTGTGGTCTTCTGTGGTAGAACCTCTTCTGTCAACACTTGCAGTATTTACTTTTTCCATACTTTTACATTAAATGAAATGAGAGCTAACAATCTCCCCCTAAGTATGAAAAAGTAAAATTGGAAATTTAAATGCAAGAAATGACTTAATTGAAAGAAWTRCAAGAGGAGATAAAAGATCATCCTCTGAAAAGAATTACATAATGAAAAGAATTACAAARCTGAATTACAAAACTGTGATGCATAGGCCAAAAACTGGTACAGAAGGTTTATCAAACGACAGAGTCTGGAAAGTCGTCTACTGCTTATAGCATATCAGCCTTGATCATTCTGTAGACGTTGAAGATCTATTCTCTGAAGTTGATTTGCATCTTGATCGCCTCCAAAATGCGAGACACTTCGCTCATCCTAAGAT